TTTGAGCATTGGCCTGCTAAACCCAGGGTTGTGAGTTCAATCCTTGAGATGGCCACTTAGGGATCTGGGGCAAAATCAGTACTTGGTCCTGCTAGTGAAGGCAGGGGGCGGACTTGATGACCTTTCAAGGTCCCTTCCAGTTCTAGGAGATAGGATATCTCCATTAATTTATTTATTTATACCATGGAGTTGCTTCTTGATCATGGCTACAAAACAAACATTTACCAGACCCTTCCAGGACAACTATCTACCTGGGTGCACTAGAATCTCATCCACGGAAGAGAAGTCAACCAGTGAGGGGAACAGAGGGTTTCCCACTTGAAGGACAGTTCCTGCAAAATCTTTCTGCAAATGCTGAGTAGCCCGTTTAAGGAGTGCCACCTGGAATTCAGCAAGAACCTTATCCAAAAAAAAAAACACACAGACCGGTTTCTGGTCTCAGCAGCAAAAGCTGCTGATGATTTCCAGCGTGACAAACAGGGAACAATCAGGTGAGGCAGCTTGGTCAATCCAGCCTGAGTAAAGGCGGAATACAGGCTCCTGGTAGAAAGAGCTTCAGAACATAAAAATGGGTTGAAAACAGTGGCTCGTCTAAGCCCATAGGCTAAAAACGCCTGGTCAGGCTGGGCACTGCAGAGAAGTCACCACGCATTAAAATGGCCATTATAGAATGGAGGCAAATCTAAACTTTGTAATCAGCCAGGTGCCAACAAGAAAATGTGAAGGTCAAAGCCCATCCTCCAACACGATGGAGGACAGAGAGGGCAAGGGACTTCCAGGCCAGCAGGGAGTCAGAGTACAGCAACAGCTGAACAGACTGGATGCAAAAAGCCACCAACCTACTGACCAGGCCAATAAGCCCCAGCCATCCTCATCTAATAGTAAGAAGAGCAAAGCAGGGTGCAACCAGTGATAACCATTCAAAAAAAAAAAAAAAAAAAAAAGATTAATGTGCTGAATCTGGTCCTGGAGGCCCGGAGGAGGATCCACACACAGCAGCTGGTGCTACAACACTGAGGCCACATGTTGCTAGCAATCAAAACCCATCCCTGAAAAGAATGTCCAGAAAAGAGCCAGTGCCATCTCTGTAGGCAGTCCTGCACTTTCTCTTCAGTCCCCTCCCAGTTCCTTAACTTGTATTGTTCAGATACAAAAAAATACCCCTACCACCTTAATCCCAGAGGTGCCCCACTGTAATTGTTGAGGCACCAAGGGGAGTGTGGCACCGAAAAGGGCCCAATAAGATCTAATTATTCTTACCCTAGTTAATTCGGGTAGAGGATGCTTGTTCATATAGTTGTAAACAGACACAAAGTGCCTGCACTTCACCTTCAGACATGACAAAAATTGAGATGTCATCAGTATAGGTTGACAAACAAACTGGGAAAGCGCCTGGCTCTCCTGGCCCAGGTAGGCCAGTCAACAGCTTCTTAGGAGGTACAGGAATAGCTCCAGAATCAGGGCATATAACATCCCAGACAGAGGGCACCCCGAAGTATGCCCCTGCGGATTGAACAAACATATTCACACTGGCCTTCATGGTATAAAAGCAATCTAGCCCCTGAGATGTGGCTAGGAGTAGCTTTCAGTCAAAAGTACTGCCTAACAGTGGTTGGGAGAATTTCCAAACATCTATTAGCCCACAGGTCTATAGGAGACTATACAGTTCCCTGGACGACTGAGGGTGTAGCTCCTCGTGGTTCCTGTCTAAAACAAACAAAAAACAGTGCAAATGAAATCTCCTTCCAAGACAGGTCACAGTCAAACATGGCATGTGCAAGTGTCTGTAAAAAGGAGACACTGTCTTGCCCCAGTGTGGGCGCATACACAGTAAAAAGATTAAAAACAACAGTGCCAACATGTGTCTCCACCTTGAGGAGCTGGCCCTGCACAATCTCCTTCACAGAGAGGATTTGTGTCCCCGCAACCTGGTAAAAGAGAACAGCTACCCCAGCAGTGACATTGGAGCCATGGCTCAAGAAAGCTTCCCTTTCCCATTCCTTCAACCAGTTCTCTTGATTATCAGGGTCCGAGTGCGTCTCTTGCAAAAGGACCTCAGCCCATTTTTGTCTGAGAAATTCAGAGTTGTGCCCTTTTATGACAATCCCAGCATCCATTAATATTTGCAGAGCCAAAGTTGATCAGCACTGCAGAGACTAGAAGGAGAGAGCCAAGGAGCAGAGAGAAACAATGGAAAGCAGAAGTACATGAGAAAAAAAAAAAGAGCCAATGGAAGGCCCATATATTTTGAACAAGCTCTGCATGCTTCTTCAAAATACTCAGCAACTTTTTGAGATAGCAATGTTTCCTATGATCACCCAAGGTATCTCTTAAGACAAGAGTAGCTGAGTGAACAAAGTGCTGTAAGTCAGGAAAACAGGCCTTGATCTCAACTCTCCGCTTCCCTTTAGTGCTATACAAGAAGCCACTAATCTTCTGCACACTGTACCCACCCTTCCTATCTAGCTGATGGGCTGGGATATCAGTGAGGAGTCAGAGAGAGATCATCATCGTCCTCTCCACCTCCCTCAGACTACGCCAGCTTAGAATAATATTGAACTGCTATGTGAATAATGAGAATGTTACAAAAGGAGAGAGATTCAGTGGAAGAAGCTGGCATATCTATTTCCCCAAGAATGATAGGCAGCACTGCCCCAGGCTGGGACCTGGTGTCATCACTGTAACATGTAGGATTGGGGGTTTGAGGGCTCACCATGCCGGGGAAGGCAGCACCTCCCTGGGAGCTCCAGTCATGGATCCACCACCCACAGCAAAGCAATTCTTCTTAGGGCACACAGCTCCATCCTCAGCCATGGCCAGCAGCTCAAGGGCCTCCAAATTCCTATCCCTTTTAGAATTAGTCCAGCATAAATCTATCTTCTTGGTCTGTTCTTCACTCCCATCTCTATAATGTGTGACTGCTTGCTCTGTAAGGAGAAGCTCCTCAACTTCCAGGGCTATCTTCCGTCCAAGCATAAGTGATGGGGTCATAACAGAGGGTTTCTCTGGGGAGTGCTGCTCTTTGGACAATGGCAGACCACATGGGCAGAGGGAATAGTCTGGCCATGCAGATGCAGGCTCGGTCTCCTGCTGGTCCCTTGGTGTCCCAGCCCCCCCCCCCCCCCCTATCCTGGGGTCCCATATTCTTATCAGGGAACCCAGAGCCAGTTGTACATGAATAGTAACCCCTCCATTGACCAGGTCACCACACCATTTCAGAGGTAACAAACACTGTATAATCCACCCCATCTATATGAGCCTTTAAAAACAGATTGAAAAGCTGTTCAGGTTATTTAAGCCTGGGGCTGGAATGACATAACATGTTTCACATTTGGATTCTTGCAACCCAACAGAATAATCCTAACAGCAGAAACAATGAGAGAGATCAGATACTAGGGTCTCATTGTGAATGAAAGGGGGAGGGGGAACTTTGGAAAAAAACTATTTTAGTAGCAGGAATAAACATGGAAAAAACTGGAACAAAAGATTCCTTGACCCAAAATCCCTCCTGTACCAAATGATTCACAAACTGCTGTTGAGTCAGGAAAATCACTGCAGATTTACTAATTCGAGAGGCAGATTTTATATTAGCACAGCCAATAGTTTTACCTACACACAGCAGACTCCACAGTATAGGAGACAGCAGGAACACACTGAACCCCATGCTTGGGGGTCAAGCCACTAAACCCCTCTGAAGTGGACCCCCATGGAGAAACCCCCCCACATCCAAAGGAAAAAAGGGAGGGAACACAACACCCCTAAATCAAAGAAACAGCAAGAAACAAAAACAAACACAGACTAACTGAAAACCAGCTAGTGCACATAGCACATACCAAACACAGTCTCACTCTCACAAACTCCTACAGCCCCAAGAGAGAGAATCAGTAGTCTTTGTGGAGAAGGAGGGAAACAGCTAGCCTGGCTGCAGAAAGAGCGGGAGAAGCACAGACAGGTGAGCCTTACACAGGCCCAGAGAATTCCCCTTCACAAGAACAGGAGACCCTGCTTGTTGAGCCACTTCCCAGACAGAGAAGAAAGGAGCCAGGGCCTGCTGCAGGACATACCTACACCCTGGCCTCAGCTACCAAGAGCCAGCTGACAAAGAGACCATCAGCAGCTGAGACCATCAGACAACTGTACCCCCATCTGGGCTGATTAGAACAAACTGAGTTATCAGAAGACTGTTGCTGCTACAGTAATTAGATAGTGTAACACAATATTCAACAGCTATTTTTTTTTAACTCTAGCTCCCTCAAATAAAAATATTTGTCTATGCCCCTGCTTTAAAGTCTATTTACAGTCTAATGTGTTTTATTTAGATTCATAATTGTTTCTTTGCATCTTCTGCTCAGGGATAAGAATTGATTCCTTTGGGGATAACCACCTTTGATCTTAAAACTTCAGGATGGTGAATCCACTTTTCCCAAGAGGAATAAAAACAGAGACCTGGGTCAGAACAGATTCAAGGAGTCAGCTCCTGATAGGAGACCTCTAAATGTAACAGATCTAAGTAATCTTGAATGTGGCAATCTTTATTTTCTTTGAGTTTGGAACTTTTACCCTCTCTTTTTGTGAAAAGACTTATAGATAGTGACACTGAAAATTATGCCCATGTAGATCAGAAGCCATGAAGAGAGAAGTTAGCTATGTGATTGTTTAGTTCCTATTCCATGAGCTCAATGAACAGCAGAGTCTGTGAGTGGAAGAGTCAGGGCTCTGGTTGGCCAGCCATCAGCGTACACTAGAATAGTTGTCTCTTTGTCAGTGGCTGCCAATACTACTATCATTTTGGTAAATAACATGGGAGCTAAGGTCAAACAGCAAAGTAGATTAAAGGTCCTAATGACAGGATTAGAAATCTATGACAACAATTGGCAAATACATGTGGGTATTTTGCAGATCCTCTGAAGCAATGAAGTTCCCAGAGCTAACTGCCAACATTGCTGACATGGAGGACTCCATTTTGAAATGTTACTTCTATATTCCTGACTTGACAAGCTTCACTTCCAAAACTTGATGTAGGTTTTACTTGAACTTGTGCGAATAAGAGAAAGAACTGGAGGAGAGTTATGTAAGTGGGATAAAACAGCAGAACAATGCCAAATGTAAAAGTTTTAACAGATTTTGCTGCTTGTCAGTCTATCCAAAGACAGAGAATACTTAAATGGCACTCAAGCATCCAGAATGATGTATCAAAATATAGGAATGGTAGCTAGTTTCAATGTTAGTACTATTAATGGAAAGTATGCATACTAAAGCCTTGATCCAGCAAAACACTTAAAGCATGTGCTTAACTTTAAGCATGTGGATAATTCATTGAAGTCAAGGGAACACTCACATGCTTAAAGTTAAGCATGTGCTTAAGTGCTTTGTTGGATCAGAGACCATGAGATCTGATTGAACAAACTGTTGACAAACTGCATACCGGACAAATTGATGCATAATGCTCCTAACTTTTATAAGAGAAGTAGTTAATTGTATTTTGCTTCTTGTCAAACTGCTGCATTGCATTTAAAATATATTATTTCCTGTTTCATAACAAACAGCAATAATTTAATTGAAGTTCTTATAAAGCTCTACTTAGTTTTTATGTCTACATTTTCAGGGTAGTGTGAATGGAATTGAAGGTACAGGATTCCTATCAATCTGTTTTCCCACAAAATAAAGTTACAAAGTATATTATTTTTCCTAAAAAAATTCATACTTACCATCTTCATACAAACAGCACATTTCTGTTCCAGTTGGAATTTTTACAATATTAAGATCTGTTTCTTCCATCCCTGCAGTAGACTCGGAACGTATCTGGGGCTAGTATGGAACATTTTTTCATTAAGGCTGATTAAAAGCTATTGGTTGATTAAATAACAAGAAACTTGTTAAGTTACATTTAAGGTTATTGTGTGAAATTCAAGCAAAGACATAAAACCATCTGTAAAGCCAACAAATACTATAAAAAGTGGAAATTGGAAATTCCATAAACAATTCTGACACCAGCCATGTCTCATTGTTTCTTTGTATTCCCTTGTTTGTCTAGATCAACCTGCTGTGTCTTGTTTTATACTTAGATTGTAAGCTGTTTGGAGTAGGGACCATCTTTTTGTTCTGTGTATGTACAGCACCTAGCACACTGGGGTTTCGGTCCATGACTACAGTTTCTAGGCTCTGTAATAACTACAACATGTTGCAAACAAATACTGAAATATTCTCAATGAGCAGCATTTAAATAACCATAACTCTGTCCTAGTGTTTGTGTTACCATTTTTTGGCCTGATTCAATTTCCATGGAAATAGTATTAATATTTCTTTTGATTTTTTTAGAAGGGGAATGGTCTCTTACAGACCTTTTTAACATTTGTGACAGGATCAGGCCAGATGGCTACAGGAGAGTGCTGGAAGGCAGGTATATTAGGAACCCTGCGCAGGCAAGGTATGGACAGCAAGCCCAGGGGCATGGGGAAATTCTGAGATTGAGAGGAATACCCTGGCCCACTGCTAAGTGGAAGCACAGAACCCACCGAGGCAGAGAAGGAGCTCTGTCACAACTGGTGTCAGGGGTGGGATTGTGTGACAGTGCAGCGGACTAAGCCAAAAAAAAAAATAGAAAAGGGGGATTTTCTTGTCCTCACCACAATGGACAAAGTGGTGAGGGCACTAGTACGGGCCACAGCGACTCAGCAGGAGGCCACCTGAGCCCAGATGACAGTCCAGCAGGAATTGATGGGGTTGCAGCACTAGACCAACCAATTGCTGATGAACTGGCTGCTCAGGACTGAGCCCTCCTGCGAGAGGTGATGGACCAGCTGAAAGCCCTGACCACCCTAGCCTGTGGGCCCAATGAGACGTGAGTCCTAAAGGCCACTGGTTACCTACCAAAGATGATTGCAGAAGACAATGTGGAGGCGTACCTCCTTACCTTTTAAAGAACCACGTTGTGTAAGGCCTGGCCCCAGGACCAGTGGGCCGACATCCTCGCCCCCTTTTTGTGTGGGGAGGCCCAGAAGGCTTACCATGATATGCCTGCAGAAGTCACGTCCGACTACTCCCAATTGAAGGTGGAGATCCTGGCCCATTCGGGGGTAATGGCAGCGGTGCGGGCCCAGAGGTATCACGAGTGGAGGTACAAACAGAGCAAGCCTCTAAGGTCCCAACTATTTGACCTCACCCACCTCGCACAGAAGTGGCTGCGACCCAAGGCCCATAGTTCCGAGGAGGTTCTGGAGATTCTGGTCATAGACCGGTACACGAGGGGACTGCCACCAGACCTTTGTGCATGGGTGGGCCAGAATGACCCCTCCTCCTGTGACGAGGTGGTCGCACTGGTGGAGAGACGGATGATGGCCAAGGAACTTTCATGACCACCCAGGGAAGATTCTTTCTGAATCAAATGATGGGCCCCGATCCTGGGATGACCGAGCACCCAGGAAGGTCTAGGTGGGAGAAGAGGGGAGCCGAGGACCAGCCCGGGACCATGAAGGGATGGAGCGACCTGGGCAAAGCGGACTATGGGCCAGTCCCCCTAGCCCAAAGGACAGGGGGGTGACTAGGGCCATGTATAGATGTTATGCATGAGGAGAGTTGTGGCACATAGCAACCCAGTGTCCCAATGCTGATGAGCCCATGCAGTGTAACCTGGGGACCTGGGCAGACCCGTGCATCCTAATCCACTTAGTGGGTGTTGCGCTAACACCACATAAATATACAAGGCTGGTGAGACTGAATGGGGTAGAGATCACGGCGCTTGTAGACTCTGGGAGTGCTATCCCCCTCATCACAGGGAAGCTAGTGAAATGCAGTCAACTGATGCAGGCCAAACATACAGGGGTAACATGCATCCATGGCAGGGCCGGCTCCAGGCACCAGCGCAGCAAGCAGGTGCCTGGGGCGGCCAAGGGGAAGGGGCGGCACATCCGGCTCTTCGGCGGCAATTCGGCGGCGGGTCCCTCGGTCCCTCTCGGAGAGAAGGACCTGCCGCCGAAGTGCCGCCGAAGAAGAAAACGGCGAGGTGGAGCTGCCGCTGATTGCGATTGCGGCTTTCCCCCCACACTGCTTGGGGTGGCAAAAACCCTGGAACCAGCCCTGGTCCATGGGGTGGTTAGTTATTATCTCACCATCCCAGTAAAGATTGAGATCCAGGGGAACATTACCAGGGTAACAGCAAGGGTGGTCCCTAAACTCCCATACCCTGTACTCATAGGGAGAGATTTCCCAGGGTTTGGAAGCTTGCTCCCACCAGAGGGGTTGGAGGAAGGAGAGGATCCCGAAGTTAATGAGTCATCCACAGCAGAATGCCACCCCCTGATTTTCTCTGAGATATCTAAGGTCTGTTCCCAGGAGGGTCAGGAAGACCAAGTGGGAAAGGAGGGCAGCTAAGGCCTTGGGAACCCGGATCCTGACCCAGGGCCAGGTTAGTCCTGAGAAAGAGAATTTTGGACGGGACCAGGCAGAAGACCTGAGATATGATAACATCAGGAAGGAGGTGGCTGAGATAGATGGGGTATCCATAGACGAAAACGCCCGGGGACCAGGACCCTACATCATGATCAAGAAGGATCTCCTGTACCGGGTCATACAGATGTAGGGGCAGGAAGTACAGCAGCTCCTGGTGTCACGAAAGCATCTGAGGGTGGTGTTAATCCTTGCCCACAGTCACCTTTTTGGAGGGCATGTAGGGGCAGAGAAGACCCCGGCACGAATCCTACGAAGGTTCTTCTGGCCAGGAATACGTGAAGAAGTTCGGCGGTATTGCGCCTCCTGCCCTGAGTGTCAGCAACGCAGTCCCCATCCCCACTTGAGGGCACCTTTAGTGCCTCTGGTAATCATAAAGATCCCGTTTGAGCGGACAGCCATGGACTTGGTGGGCCCCCTGGAGAAGACGACCCAAGGCCACCAGCATGTACTTGTCGTCCTGGATTATGCCACCCGATACCCAGAAGCCATTCCCCTGCGGAACACGGCCTCCAAGTCAATAGTCAAGGAGCTAGTGGAGATCTTTGCCCGTGTAGGGCTACCAAAGGAGATACTCACCGACCAAGGGACCTCTTTTATGTCAAAACTGATGAAGGACCTATGTGCTCTATTCCATGTACAGGTCTTGCGGACTTCGGTCTACCACCCGCACACTGATGGTCTTGTGGAAAGATTCAACAGGACCTTCAAGGCCACGATAAGGAAGGTGGTACGTCAGGACGAGAAAGACTGGAACACACTATTGCCTTATCTCATGTTCGCCATCCGGGAGGTTCCTCAGGCTTCCACTGGGTTTTACCCCTTCGAGCTATTATATGGGCACCACCCCCATGGCATATTAGACATAGCCAGGAAGATCTGGGAGGAAGAACCCAACACGGGGAGAAACATAATTGAGCACATGCTACAGACGAGAGACCAGATAGCCCAAGTCACCCCCATCATATGGGAGCACTTGGAGAAAGCGCAGGAGGCCCAACGAGACCACTACAACCACCAAGCAAAAGTTTGATGGTTCCAACCTGGAGACTGGGTGATGGTATTGGTATCCATGGCAGAGAGTAAGCTCTTGGCCCAGTGGCAAGGGCCCTACGAAGTGGTCAAACCTGTGGAAGAGGTGAACTACAAGGTGTGACAGCTGGGATGCCTAAAACAAGAGCAGGTCTACCATGTCGACCTCCTGAAGTCTTGGCATGCCTGAGAGGCATGTGTAGTCACCCAAGACAACCTGCCCCAGGAAAGCAGCCAGCCCGAGCAGGTGAGGATATCCCCCGACTTGATGCCGGATCAAAAGACTGATGGTCAACTGGAACCAGGATGTGTTCTCAATGAGACTGGGCCAGATGACCAAGGCATATCACCACATCCTCACGAACCCCCAGGCCAAGGTGATGATAAGCCCTATGGGTCCCAGCAGCCAAAAGGGAGGATGTCAAGGCCAAAGTGAAGAGAATGTTGAAATTAGGAGTCATCAAGGAATCCCAGTCAGTGGTCCAGACTGATCGTGCTGGTGCCCAAACTCAATGGCACCACAAAGTTCTGCAATGACTTTTGCCGGCTGAATGAGGTATCCCAGTTTGATGCATACACTATACCCTGCATAGACGAGTTAGCTGACCGACTGGGCAAAGCCCGGTTCCTGACCACCCTGGATTTGACAAAGGGGTATTGGCAGATTCCCCTAGCCAAAGAAGCAAAAGAAAAGACTGCTTTTTCTACCCCAGAGTGGCTGTTTCAGTATACCGTTCTCCCCTTCAGGCTGCATGGGGCTCCAGCCACCTTCCAGCGTCTCATGGACAAGCTGTTGTGCCTCCATGCCAGTTATGCTGCCGCATAATTGGACTACGTGATTATCCATACCCCAGACTGGGAGACCCACCAGGAAAAGGTAGAAGTGGTGCTGAATACCCTAAGGCGCACCGGCCTCACAGCCAATCCTGCCAAGTGTGCCATAGGACTAGCGGAGGCTAAATACCTAGGGTACATTGTAGGGAAAGGCGTGGTAAAGCCCCAACTAAATAAGCTGGAAGCGATCCAAAAATTGGCCCCAGCCAAACCAGAAAAAACAAGTCAGAGCATTCCTAGGCGTAGTGGGGTACTATCGGCGATTTATCCCCCACTTCACCACCAGGGCAAGTCCCCTGACAGACCTGGTAAAGGCCCGGGGACCTGACATGATGCGATGGACCGATGCGGCAGAGGGGGCATTCACAGACCTATGGAAAGCCCTCTCCAGCAACTCTGTGCTCATAGCCCTGGATTTTACTAAAGAATTCATTTTACAGATGGATGCATACGAAGTGGAGTTGAGGGCTGTCCCGTCACAGATGGTCGGAGAAGACGAACACCCAATCCTTTACCTTAGCAGAAAACTCCTTCTGAGGGAACAGAAATATGCAGCAGTAGGGAGGGAGTGCCTCGCCATTAAGTGGGCCATGGAAACTCTACGATATTACCTGCTAGGTTGGTGATTTGTCCTTGTGACCGACAATGCCCCCCTCCAGTGGATGCAATGGAATAAAGAGAAGAATGCCAGGGTGATCAGATGGTTCTTGTCCCTCCAACCGTTCCACTTCCGCATAAAACACAGAGTCGGAAGCCGCCATGGTGATGCGGATGGCCTGTCCCGGGTACACTGTCTAGTGACCCAAGTTGCCCAACCCCATGGTGTTGAGCAGGGGGGAGGGATATGTGACAAGGTCAGGCCAGATGGCTACAGGAGAGTGCTGGAAGGCAGGTATATTAGCCCCCAGATGAGCAGGTCCTTTTTCCCTTGGTAACTGAACAGAGGTTGCTCTAGGTTAATTAGGACACCTGGGGCCAATCAAGGGTCTGCCAGAACCTGTTAAAAGCCTCCCCTCCAGCCAGATAGGGGCATGCGATAGGAGTTGTGGGAGGAAAGCGCACTACTGGAGAGCTGGGCAGTGCAGATGCTGACAAGCACCAGGAGGGAAAACCTCACAGGTACAGAGGCAAAGGGCAGGGGAAATCCTACCCAACAGGGTGAACAGCCCTTCTGGGCCCCGGAGGTCTGAGGGAAGAGACTTCACTGGAGGGGAGAGACTGAACTGGGTGTCTGGTTTGCTGCCACCACGCCTGGAGGGGCTACCAGAGACTAAGAGGCTCTCCTCCCTCTCCCGCTCCCCTGTCAGGGAGGCCGGGAGGAACCCTGCTCAGGCAAGGTATGGACGGCAAGCCCAGGGGTGTGGGAAAATTCTAAGGTAGAGAGGAATACCCCGGCCCACCACTAAGTGGAAGTGCAGAACCCACTGAGGCAGAGAAGGAGTTCTGTCACACACTGTAAATAAAAAATTGAGTATTTTGTGTATATTCTTTTATAGTAACAAGTGTGGTGGTTTACTATCAGATGAACAGGGTTTTGTTTTTTTTTAAGGTAATAGGGAAAGTTTTATTCTCTGGTTTAAGGATTATATTTAGTCTATTCTGTACCTTACTCTCTAATTACAGTTGTCTAATTAGGGGTATAGTGAACTATTTTTCTCAGTAAGAAAAGATTGCTATTTGACATACCTATATACTAAGTCATTGAATACCTAGTAAGTCATTTAATACCTATTTGAGATACAGTACCTATACACTGTTATTTAAATTTTCATATACAGTTCTGAGAGAGAGCTACATGATAAAGGAATACGGTTCCTTAAGAGTTTGTTGCTGTTGCTCATGTCTTGTTAAAAGGGTAGAGCTAAGGTTGTTTAGATGCCTGCCATTGAGAATCATTCTTTTTAAATTTTTTGTCTGTATTAACTGAATGTTAAGATGGAGCACTAGAACGGTTTTTGTAACCTTTGTATGTCTTTTCTTGAATTACACATAGCAATCTTAACAGTAAATTATTTGTTATTACATTTTCTAATTTTTAAAAAGGACTTATAAATTTTATTGTTAAATGTTATTTAGTGCAATGTTGGCCTTAGATATTCTATAGATCTTCTATCATAAACCATTATTCAATATAGACCATTTGTCTAAGTTCTGAAAAAGTAAAAGTTAATATAAATTACAATATTCACAACTACATGTTAAAATGTACACATGTATAGTGAATTTTCAGATATCTGCAATAAACTGTTGTCAGATACAAGTGGTCAAAAGAATCACTAGAACAATTTTTTCATTGTGAAAATCACAGACTTTTTTTGACTCCTTGTTATATAAAAATTTTGCTTTTCAAAATTGTCAGAAAATTCTACTATACACTTGTATTATTCACAGAAAATTTTTAAAGTTACATTTAATTAAAAAAACAGTTACATACCAATGGTGAAAAAGGGAAATATAAACCACCCCTTCGTTCATTTATTTGGCTTGCACCAGTTTCAATATAGAGAGGAACAGCAAACTGTAAAACACCAAAAACATACTAAGCATATTTCAAGAAAACATAACTTAAGACCATGTATGCTCACAAACAACTAAGCTTCAATAATAAAATACTGAAATAGCATGTAATGTTTTGTTCATCTGACTAAATGGGGAGGTTGCATACAATAATGACACACAAAAGACAGTTCAAGTATAGCTAAAGTAAAAAACAGCTCTTTTACATGTAGAATTGAATATGTTCACAGCTGGACTTTATATGTGACCTTACGCAATAAACAATATGTATCAGTGCAAAAACCCAATGTATGTGCAACTATTATAATTTAATTTTTAATTGCATCTATGTCAAGAAGTTGAACATTTGGTTTTTACTAGGGCTGTCAATTAATTGCAGTTAACTCACACGATTAACGAAAAAAATTAATTGCAATTAAAAAAAATTAATCGTGATTAATCACACTGTTAAACATGGGATTTTTGTAACCGGTATTGCAAGGTATTTACGTGCCAGATATGCTAAACATTCGTATGCCCCTTCATTCTTTGGCCACCATTCCAGAGGACATGCTTCCATGCTGATGATGCTCATTAAAAAAATAATGCATTAATTAAATTTGTGACTGAACTCATTGAGGGGAGAACTGTATGCCTCCTGTTCTGTTTTATCCACATTCTGCCATATATTTCATGTTATAGCAGTCTCGGATGATGACCCAGCACATGTTGTTCGTTTTAAGAACACTTTCACTGCAGTTTTGACAAAATGCAAAGAAGGTACCAATTTGAGATTTCTAAAGATAGATACAGTACTCGACCCAAGGTTTAAGAATCTTAAGTGCCTTCCAAAATTTGAGAGGGACAAGGTGTGGACCATGCTTTCAGATATCTTGTAAGAGCAGCACTCTGATGTGGAAACTACAGAACCCGAACCACCAAAAAAGAAAATCAACCTTCTGCTGGTGGCATCTGACTCAGATGATGAAAGTGAACATTCATTGGTCTGCACTGTTTTGGATCGTCATCGAGCAGAACCCATCATTGACATGGATGCATGTCCTCTGGAAGGGTGGTTGAAGCATGAAGGGACATATGAATCTTTAGCACATCTGGCACATAAATATCTTGCGATGCCGGTACCATGTGAAAGCTTGTTCTCACTTTCAGGTGACATAAAAAAGAAGCAGGTGGCATTATCTCCTGCAAATGTAAACAAACTTGTTTGTCTGAGTAATTGGCTGAACATGAAGTAGGACTGAGTGGACTTGTAGACTCTAAAAATTTACATTATTTAATTTTTGAATGCAGTTTTTTTGTACATAATTCTACATTTGTAAGTTCAACTTTCATGATAAAGAGATTGCACTACAGTACTTGTAATGGGGGAATTGAAAAATACTATTTCTTTTGTTTTTTTACAGTGCAAATATTTGTAGTCAAAAATAAATCTAAAGTACATTTTGTATTCTGTGTTGTAACTGAAATCAATATATTTGAAAAAAATATTTAAATAAATGGTATTCTATTATTGTTTAACAGTGTGATTATTCGCAATTAATTTTTGTAATCGCTTGACGGCTCTAGTTTTCACAGCAACTTTAACTCATCTACTCTGCATGTTCGCATTAAGGTTCTGATTCAGCAAAGCACTTAATCTTGTAATTCCATCCCCACTCTGGAAAGCATTTTATAACTATAATGGAAAGTGACTAGGGGTGGGTAGGAGACAGACAAGCTAATTGGTGGCAACTTCTGGTGGCCAGTGCAGGTACTCGCTCTACAGGCGGTTTGGTTCCCTGATAAAACAGATTTGGAAGTGGACTTAGGAAAAGGCATCACCTGAAGAAGCTGGGGAATGGGGTCGGGGCTTCTAATGTCTGATACAACAAGGAGACAACCCCCTTTACCCAGCACCTTAGCCCTCATATGAGTTAACGCCAGTGAGGTCCCAGCAATGGGGTGGGAGCAGGTGTGGAGGGTTGGGGGGCTGATGGCAGTCTTCAAACAGGTGGAAATCATTAAGGAAAGAATGATGAACTTCACTGTATGACCTATTGCCAGATAGTTCCCAGATGAATTACATAATTACGGTTGTGGCCTAATTATCCAATCCCTTGCACCTTGTCTTTCTCCCTGCACGTCCAGGACAATGTATGTATGCATTAAGGTTCTGATTCAGCAAAGCAATTAAGAATGTGAATAATTCCATCTGTATTCTGCAAAGCACTTAAGCATGTGTTTAAATTTAAGCATGCGAGTAGTTCCACTAATGGAAATTCTCCCTTGCATGTACAGATATGTAACAGCTATCTCATTGCCTGACTGACCTCACCAGGGTTGATTTTACTACCTTTATGTTTGAACTATAATTTAGAGGAATATACTGACATTTTCTGATTTTATCCATTTCCTTTGAGTTGATAGTGACTGTAGAAGTACTTCCCCATCCGTTAGGATGGACATTTGTAGTTAAAATGAGTCTGGCTCCAACGGAGGCATTCCTTGATATATTCACCAACTGAAGGATTTTCAAACTTATAGTGCCAAGTACTGTTGTCTGAGTGTTAAGACTACTAGTTCTATTGGGAAAGTCCAGTGGAGATGAGAGCTATGGCTGATTACAGATCTGACCAAGCTGAAGGACCAGATCATCAGACCCATCCCCTTTACACTGCCAGAGCAGCACAAATTGGATAGAGCACACACAACTCTATGTGAATGAAATAAATGTTTTCCCCTTTGTATAAGTTCAGTTGCCAAGCAGTAAGTGAGTTTGACCCAAGTAAGGGACAGCATGTAGTTGCACTGCCTCAGGAGCAGATTAGGGAATGAATTGTGACTCAAAGAGTCACAATTCAAGCCCTCATTCCAGAGAGGAAGCAATTTGTGCCAACTCTTTCCCTGATGCAGATTATTATTTCCTCTTTGAGACAGCTCAGCTCAACTGTGTTGGCTAATGTTTTGGGGAGGAGGGAGAGCCAGAGACAAAACTTGTCTAATTCCCCACTGCTGCCCACCGACTACCCACCTACATGTATGGGAGAGAAATTAGTGGCCCTTTGGAATCACAATGTGACCCACAATGGGAATAACCCACACATGGGAATAACAATCTTACAGACCCTTACTCCCCAATGGTGGGGTATAATAAACAAGCTGGGATCTTGCTTTCAGTCTCCAGATCAACTCTGAATATTTTATAATGATATTGCTTGTAGTACATAAGCCATTGTGATGATTTGGCATACCTTGTACCCCAGCAAAGGTGATCTCATTTTCATCCACAACATGCACATACAAATTAGGTACACGGAACTGTGTGCACACAATAAAACCATATTTGAAAATCTGCTTCAATCATTAGAACATAAGAATGACTATATTGTGTCAGACCAATGGTCCATCTAGCCCAGTATCCTGTCTTCTGACAGTGGATGGTACCAGATGCATCAGAGGGAATGACCAGGACAGGGCAATAATCAAGTGATCCATCCCATTGTCCAGTCCCACCTTCTGGCAGTCAGACATTTAGGGACACCCAGAGCATAGGACTGCATCCCTGACCATCTTGGCTAATAGTCAGTGATGGACCTACTATCCATGAACTTATCTAATTCTGTTTTGAACCTACTTTTGGCCTTCACAACTTCACCTAGCAATGAGTTCCACTGGTTGTGTGTGTAAAGAAGTACTTCCTTATGCTTGTTTTAGACCTGCTGCCTATTAATTTCATTGGCTGACCAGTAGTTCTTGTGTTATGTGAAGGTGTAAATAACACTTTCTTATTCACTTTCTCACACCATTCATGATTTTATAGACCTTTATCATATTCCCCTTACTCATCTCTTTTCTATGCTAATAGTCCCAGTCTTTTTAATCTTTCCTCATATGGATGCTGTTCCTTACCCCTAATCATTATTGTTGCCATTCTCTGTTTTTGTTTCCTGTTCTAAGATATTGTTTTTGAGATGGGGCAACCAGAACTGCATGCAGTATTCAAGGCATGGGCGTACCATGGATTTATATAGTGGCATTATGATATTTTCTGGCTTATCTATTCCTTTCCTAATGGTTCCTAACATTTTGTTAGTTTTTTTAATTGCCACTATACTCTGAGCAGATGTTTCAGAGATTATCCATGATGACTTCAAGATCTCTATCTTGAGTGGTAACAGCTAATTTAGACCCCATCCTTTTGTATGAATAGTTCAAATTATTTTTTGCAATATGCATTACTTTGCATTTATCAACAATGAATTTCATTTGTCATTTTGTTGCCCAGTCACCCAATTTTGTGAAATCCCTTTGTAACTCTTCGCAGTCTGCTTTGGACTTAACTATCTTGAGTAATTTTGTATCATCTGCAAACATTGCCACTTCACTCTTTACCCCTTTTTCCAGATCATTTATGAATATGTTGAACAGCACTGGTCCCAGTACAGATCCCTGAAGGACCTTGCTATTTACCTCTCTCCATTCTGAAAACTGACCATTCATTCCTACCCTTTGTTTCATGTCTTTTCAGCAGTTATTGATCCATGAGATCAATCCATCCCTCTTATCCCATTACTGCTTAGTTTGCTTAAGAGCCTTTAGTGAGGGAACTTGTCAAAGGCTTTTTGAAAGTCTAAGTATACTATATTGACTATATTAGTTTATAAGGTGCCACCGGATTCTTTGTTGCTTTTTACAGATCCAGACTAACACGGCTACCCCTCTGATATATTGACTGGATCACCCTTGTCCACATTTGTTGACCCCCTAAAGATTTCTAATAGATTGGTGAGACATGATTTCCATTTACAAAAGACTCTTCCCAAACAAATCATGTTCATCAATTTGTCTGATAACTCTGTTCTTTATTATAATTTCAACCAATTTGCCTGATATGGAAGATAGGCTTACTGGCCTGTAAGTGCCAGGATCACTCCTGGAGCCTTTTAAAAAAAATCAATGTTACATTAGCTGTCCTCCAGTCATCTGGCACCGATATGTTACATACCACAGTTGGCAGTTCTGCAATTTCATATTTGAGTTTCTTCAAAACTCTTGGGTGAATACCATTAGGTCCTGGTGACTCACTACTGTGTAATTTATTAATTTGTTCCAAAACCGCTTCTACTAACACCCCAATCTGGGACAATTCCTCAGATTTGTCACCTAAAAAGAATGGCTCAGGTGTGGGAATCTCCCTCACACCCTCTCTGCAGTGAATCACTTTTGTATCTTTCTTATTCTTGCTTTTGGATTTGCTTGGCTTCATAATATAAGTCTATTACTAGGCTTTGCAGTGTTAGAAAGTCCAAATACCTTCCAATAAAAACAAAACATTAAAAAACAATCAATTGCATAGTTGTTTTTACATACAGGTTGATTGAGGGATGCTTGGTTAAATGCTGCTGCCTGACGGTACAAAGTATGTCTAAGAAACATCTCATCCTTAATGGCATGCAGGCTGAAAAAAAGAGTCTCTATGTTAAATTAAAAATGTAAACATACATAGATTATAATGTAGGATGTCATTGCGAATAATTACAACTGATGAATTAGTTAAATATATCTCTATATATCTTGCATTAAAAACTTTCCATTTCCCTTTAGATTACACATGATGCTGTGAAGGATTCTGTGATATTATATGTTAAAGTATTTTAATATATTTTAACTATGCAAATAAGTACATTTGTGAATATGGCAGCTCCCTTTTGCAAGACTTGAGGACCTTAACATATAGAACAAAAAACAAACAAACAAGCAAAATAAAAGCTATGATTAAGGGCTTGTCTCCATAGAGAATTAGTGTGTGCCAATCCACTGTGTGAATCTACAGTGTACTAATATGCTGTGCACTCACTTGCTATGGAGACAAGCCCTAAACACCTTGCCCTCCCATAAGATGAGCAGAGCCAACACAGAGTACAGAAAATACTTTCATTAAAAAAATGAAAATAACAAGAGAAAGAAAAGAACAGACCGAGTTAAAAATGGAAAAATGTAAAGAAAACTTTTGTGCATCTTCTATTTTTAAAATATGGTACTGCTTTTTAATACAACAGAAGGAATATGAAGACATATCTTACGTAAATGACTATATGACTCATGATGTTTGCTGTACTTGCAGAAAGAACTGAAATAATGGGATGTGACATTCTGCTAACCCTTCGCACATGGTATGACAAATACATCTTTTTACTGACCAGCAAGAAACAATTCTCTTTACAAGCCTCAGGCTTAACAATAAAGCAAACACACAGGAGAGAATGAGAGCAAAAAGTCAATAAATATTCAGCAATCAGTTGTGTGTATTGCTAGATATATACACTAAATGTATTGATACAATACCATCAGGGCCGGTGGAAGGCTGTTTAGTGCCCTAGGAGAACCTTCCACCTTGCGCCCCCCCC